AAAACCCTGCATGAAAGTGATTGCTATTAACAACTTGCTATGCCATCAAAAAATGTGGTGAGTCTGGCCATAAAAAATGCCATGCAATAAGTTTATAAACAATCTACGATTTATTGCTATAAATGCATGGTGTGTTATTCTAATTAAGTCCAAGACACACATGATTGTGTTTATTTAGTAAACCATGTAACTTGTAAGCGGAACAGTCAAACTATCACTTTCATTTTCATGTACACATATCAGCAAAATACTAAATAGAAAGAAGATGAGTGTCCTATTGATGATCCTATCAGTTGTACTAGTAGTATCTACATTGACTGGATCTACTAACAATTACTACAATGGTAAGATACTGACTACTATACTAATGGATAATATACCTGTTTGAATTATATATACTATCAACAACAAGAACCTACTGGTAATAACGGATCGTCATTCACAGATTGTAGTAAGTTCAGTAATACACTATCAATTAATTTTATTAATTTTAAGCTGTTAGTAAGAAGTTTGTTGAATTCAGTAATAATTCAATGACTCCATACCCACTGACACGTGGGGGAGCATTACATTGGCAAGCAGTACTAAAGATCAGTGAGTGACAACAATTATAAACAAACATGAATCCATTTATAGAGAGAACCATACAATGGGGTGGTATACTGCATGCCACACTGAAATACAATTTCAAGAATTATACTAATATTACTTTCTTTGATATGGAATTAAATTTATGCGACTTCTTAGATGATATAATTAAGCAAAAATGTCCAGTACATCCTGGAATATATCATATAAATAGTCATATTATAATGTCACCACTCCTTTGGCCAGTGAGTAACAGATACAGTATATCATTATTACTATTCTATTTCATAGGGTCAGTATTATGCTAAAGCAACTGCTTACGATGAGGAAGGAGAGCAAATGATGTGTTTGATGAAACAAGGGATCCTTGAATAATGAAAACATAAAGAGACTGAAATAAAAATATATTTAGAGTAGATGCACAAGTTTTGAGACAGTTAAATACTTTTAAAAATAGTTTTATTGAAATCAGAGGCACTGTCATCCGATAATAGGATCTATCTCATACTCAATACAATGCTATAAATTTGCTTAACTTTAACAAATTGGAAATTGCCCAGAGTAAAATATCACAGTTGCCTCCTCTTGTTGAAAACCTAACTTTTTCTTGTTGTTAATATACTATCAACAACAAGAACCTACTGGTAATAAAGGATCATGCACATGTACATTACATGCAAAATGAATAGAAAGCAAAAAACTTAAAGGGTAAGTCCGGTGTATTTTTGGTGAATTTTTTTATTGGCTTAATATGATTGCCTGACCATAATAATGATGTATTCCAACTCCCATTGTCTAAAAAAATTTTTTCACTGAGATATGAGCCTTCAAAGATGCTCATTCTTATTACTTCCTGTCGGTGGGTGTGGCTAAACATGACGTCACTAGAGGCAAAGATGCAGATACCGTATAGCCACAAAGTTTCGAGGCAATAAACTTTCGCGAATCAGGCCACAAGTCTTTTTTCGCGAATTAACTTTCGCGGTTCCTGCTTTAAAGCACACGTATTTATGGGCAATACGGATATTTCACGGAATTAACTTTCGCAAATACGGAAGATCCGCGAAAACAGCGAAAGTTGTACCCTCGAAATTAAGCGGCTATACGGTAACTCCATTCCTTTATAGGGGGAAATAATCCTTTATTCTCATGTCTTGTAATGTAATATCACTAATTTAAAGATTGGGATCATTAGCTATCATTATTCTAAGCATGCAACTGCAAGAAAATGTCATAATATTACAAGTAGGTAAATTTTCTTGTTTGCTATTTTGAGTCTTTTTCTTGCAGTTGCATGCTTAG